GCGACTGTTTTTGTCAATACCGACTTTGTGTGAACAGAGTAAGTTATCGATTATTTCAAATTAACTTGATCTACGCATGTCATGCCTGGACCTTCGTTCAGTCTCTACCTCTTTAAGTCTCTGAGATCGAAAGATCGCACTTACGGATCGAAGCTAGATCGACTCGGTTGTTGATGATTGTTGCCATGAGCTATTTATCAAGCAGTAGTTAAGTTAACCCAACTTGAAGTACGTAGCTTTTTTAAACGAATTAATATTTATTTACATCTTCATGTACGTGGAAAGAATTCATGCGTGCATATACCTATATGTTAATATTTGCAAAGGTTAGTATAATAAGAAAAATCTTCCATTTCCGCACACCGAAGATTAAATACCTTTTGATTTATGGCTTACTAAAAACTAATTTAACCACAAATATATAAAATATAGTAAATAATCGGATGATAAAGATATCTTCCTAGCAAAAAAGAAGATAGTTTTCAACTGTAATACCCGTAATACGGATTAAGAATACACGCACTTATTGCGGTCGAAAGTCTCCTTCCTTGCGTTGCACATTTCATGACAAAGTTAGAATACGCTCTTTAAGAGTATCAAAGTGACAGCTGTAAACAAGTAAACAAGAACGTTGCGTTGGGTATAACCGACTGCGTAACACCCTGTTCACAGAGTAAAACCAGCTTAAATAAGTCGATAAGTGCCTTTTTGAGTACTGTATTGGTTACAGTAAGAGTGAGGGTGTCGGTGGCCCTTTTTAGGATCTTTATATCTTACGGTAAGACTATAAGTAGTCACCTGCACAACTTAGTGACTGTACCTTTATAGTCGTGGTAGATATCGATTTGCAAGGCTTGCCCACGAGCTTTGACTCTGAAGCTTTAAATGAAACTTCACAACGAGAGACCGACCGTATGACGAACTTTTGGCTAAAGCCAATATACTTATGTTCTCATTGCAAACCGAGTAAATAAAAAAAATCCCAGAAAATGTTGTTCCATTGCCAGACAAACACCATGAAATCGCTTCGCAATACAAAAATCCTGATAAGGGCATCGTCATTATAACAAGCGCGCTGAGATAAGCTTTTCATTCTCGAATGAGAATCAAGTCGAGTATCGAGACAGTTTTAATTATACATTCAGAAAGTTCACACGTACTTTTCATATTTTTCTCAAATGAAACTATTGCTCATCAGCCTGTTGGGCGTGCTCAGCGTAACACGCAGTGCTAACGGCGCGACTCGCAATTCGAATCTTATTTGCTACTATGACTCGGCCTCATATCTGCGTCCGGGCTTTGCTAAGTTGGATGCGCACCATTTGGAATTGGCCCTTCAATTCTGCACACATCTGGTATACGGCTATGTGGGGCTCAAGCCAAGCACTCATGAGCTGTATAGCTTAAATGTGGACTTGGATATGTTTCACTTTAAGGACATTACTCAGCTGCGTGACAGATTTCCGCATTTGAAGGTGCTCTTGAGTATTGGTGGCGATCGAGATGTGGACGAGTCGCATCCCAACAAATACTTGGAGCTGCTGGAAGCGAACCGCACGGAGCAACAAAACTTTATTGATAGCAGCATGGTGATGCTGCGTAGAAATGGCTTCGACGGATTGGACTTGGCGTTCCAGTTCCCTAAAAATAAGCCGAGGAAAGTGCATGGAACCATCGGCACGTACTGGAAACAGTTCAAGAAATTGTTTACTGGCGACTTTATTGTTGATCCTTCGTCGGCACAGCACAAGGAACAGTTTACTGAGCTTGCCAGAAATTTAAGAAACACCTTTCAGAGCGCCAATCTCTTATTAACATTAACCGTGCTACCTAATGTGAACTCCACTTGTATGTTCTGGCTGAGTTTTCGTAAATTATATATTAATAACAACAATGTATCTGTCATTTAGGGTATTTTGACGTTCCCAAGCTACACCCATTAATGGACTTTATTAACCTGGCAGCATTCGATTTTCTCACACCCGTGCGTAATCCCGAGGAAGCAGACTATACTGCTCCAATCTTTCATTTTGACGAGCAACAGCGTCTGCCCCACTATAATGTTGAGTTCCAGCTGAACTACTGGCTGCAGAATCGTTGTCCACCGCAGAAGCTGAATTTGGGTATTGCCACCTATGGACGAGCCTGGAAGCTATCCAAAGACTCGGGGCTAAGCGGCTTGCCAGTTGTACCAAGCACCCTAGGACCCGGCCAAGGTGGACTTCAAGTTGGCAGCAGCGAGGGCTTGCTTAGCTGGCCAGAAATCTGTGCAAAGCTACCTCTGAATCAAACGGCAGTCTATCGTGGTGCGAATGCACCCTTACGCAAGGTCACGGACCTCACGCAGAAATACGGAAACTATGCCTTACGGCCAGCTGATGAAGAAGGCGAGCACGGACTGTGGGTAAGCTACGATGATCCCGACTTTGCGGGCATCAAGGCTGCCTATGCCAAAAGCAAGGACCTTGGCGGAGTGGCACTCTTCGATCTAGGCTATGACGACTTTCGAGGTCTCTGCACAGGCCAGAAGTTTCCCATTGTGCGCTCAGTAAAATACTTTCTGGGTTAAATTGTAGAGTTTTTCATAAGCAAATTACTTGTAATGCTAATCAGCTTGTCTCAATGTTTTACTTCTGACCTCGTATATTTGAACCGCAGTCTGAGACGGCTCAATAACTTTGCTTACGCAATTGAACTATTCTAAGAGCAAAGGTAAAATAAAAACTTGATTTGACTGGCTCTCTCTTTATCTGGTAATAACAAAATGTGCTGTGTTCCTCTCCATGAAAGCTTTTGCTATCGTCATCGTCGGTCGGCAGCTTCATTTGTCGTTTGTCGTTTGCCGTTTGCGTTTTCGGTTTCCATTTCAGCTTCAGTTCGATTTCATTTAATCGTCGATGCGGTCGTGAGTCTTGTCTACTAAGTATTTTTACAATACTGCAGCATGAAGCAGTTCTTTTTGCTTTCGTTTTTCACGGGCTTCCTTGTGACTGTCACACACGGAGCATCTAACTTAGTGTGCTATTATGATTCATCGAGCTACACACGTGAAGGTAAGGGGCATTTTCGGGTGTTAATTGAAAACCTTTTTCAGCCAAGCACCGAAAATTTGTTTAGCTGGTTAAATTTAAAATTGGAATCCCCTGGCAGAGGATAATATTATTTAGTTAATAAGAATTGGAATTCCCTTCAGAGGCAGATTGTCGCAATCAATTATAAGTATTCACATGTCAGGCTCAATTAATCATACTCGTAACAGGTGTATTTCAATTTCTTGATAATACTACCTTTTAGTTAAATTGTTCTTGTAGTTGTACATGTAAATATATTCCGGTTCAAGCCTACAAGGTCAGTGTAAATATTGGTACAGGGTATTTTTCAGTCTATGACTTCGTTGGTAGCATTAGCAAAAGTTTATTTTCAAGTGTTCCACAATTTCGTTAGGAATCTATTTTTAATAGAAAATATGTATATTTTTTGTTAAATATATTTCTGTGTGCCATATGCAGATTACGCTTAGATTTTGTCAAACCTCCCTTTAAATCAATTATTAATTATATCAAATTGTATTTGTTGTTTATAAATTTGAAAACATGGAGCGGATCGTGTGCGTGCTTGTCTGCATTAACATCAAAACCTGTCTCCTCGTCGAGCACACTCCGCGCTTTGCTAAAGATCAAACTAAATTCAGACGCAAATCACAAGATTACACATGTTAAAAGCTTTTAATTAGCATATTTCGTACTGCCCCATTGAAAAATCCGTTTATATTACGTATTAAACTATTAAACACAATTTAACTTCTTAATATTAAGTTCATTTTAAAGCCAGCGCGTAAACATATCGCGAGAGGCTGTCGCGTAGTTGTGACTGGAGGTCAGTGGCTTATCAGTTGAGCTGAGGTTCGAGAGAGAGTAGCTCTTACTCTAAACGAGCCGAGCTCTCAAATACGCTCTCTCTCTCTCGCTTTATCTCTCTCAATATTGTTATTAAAAGTATGATGATCCATGAAAACTGGCAATTTCAAAGGCAAACACAATTAAATACAAGGTCAGCTCGCCAACTTACTGACAATAATAAAACAGCAACAGCAATAAAGTAGCACAAAATTGTTATCCAAACGTGACAGTTTTTCAAAAACAAGAGCTTGAGCTCCACTCACACAATTCACGCGCTTTAAATCGAAATCTGAGTGTACAACTCGCTGCGAGTCCAGCGCGACAACTGCCCCAGCAACATTTCTCCGCTGGAGACCCAACAAGTGACTAACAGTATGACGACGTAATGTACAGTGGGACCAAATGTAATTCGTTTAGAGATCGCACCCGATTCATAAAATGGAAAAAGTATGGGCGTCAAATTACAATGCAGAAACATAGTCCTATTCTATTTAATGACATAAATAAATCAATTATATAAATAAATCAATTTATACACGTAACTAGAAACATTAAATCAGTCTAGAATTGATAATTAACGTGTTCAAATATAACACTCTATTTTTGGAATCATTTTTAATCACTCTTAGGCAACTGTGTACATTCAAGTGAATAATGAGTACTGCGAAGTATAAATTCAACAAGACTGTTGTTGCTCTTAATTGAGCCCCTGCGGGACAATGATCCCAATGTGTAGTGCTTTATGGGGAAATTGGATCGCTTATCTCGGAAAAGCCTTTGTTGATCCAATTGCAAACATAAACAGACTTTGATGTAAATTCATAACGAATACATCAAACTGCACGACGGGTCTGATAGCTAGCTAAGCCAGAGCTGTTAAGATAAAAGCTGATGAAATTAAAAAGCTTTACAGGATGTTTTTTCATTAAATTTTTTATTAATTTATCCATTTCGAGTTAAAAATAACAATTTCTAGTCTAAATTCTAGTCTGACTCTATTCGTAATGTGAACTATTTTACCATTTATTCACAGTATTACTAACAAAGTAAGAATTTTCACTTATTTCATGCTTAATAATCAAACTCTAATAATTGGTACAGGCTTAGGCAAACTGTTAAATCCGGACTTGGAAATCGCTTTACAGTTCTGCTCGCACTTGGTCTGCGGATATATGGGCCTACGTGGCGACAACTATCAGGCATACAGCTTGAATGAAAATTTGGACATCTATAAACATCAGTTTTCCGAAATAACAGCCTTCAAGCGAAAATATCCACATCTAAAGGTGCTACTCAGCGTGGGCGGCGATCGTGACATCGATGCGGAACATCCAAACAAGTACATTGAGCTACTCGAAGGGGAGAAGGTGCGACAGACGGGATTTATCCAATCGGCGTACTCGTTGGTTAAGAACTACGGATTTGATGGCTTGGATCTGGCATATCAGTTCCCTAGAAACAAGCCCAGAAAGGTGCACGGTGAGCTGGGCACAGTCTGGAAGAGTTTCAAGAAGCTGTTCACTGGCGACTTTATAGTTGACAACAATGCGGCTCTGCACAAGGAACAGTTTACAGCGTTTGTTCGAGATGTGAAGGATTCGCTACGTGCTGATGGATTTTTACTCAGTTTGACTGTGCTCCCGAATGTTAACTCCACCTGTAAGTATTCAAAGTTAATTGGCATTTAAGAAAATGCATTAGTTTGCAATTTTTCGCAGGGTATTTTGACATACCAGCGCTGAACGGGCTCGTTGACTTTGTCAACTTAGCCGCCTTTGACTTTCTAACGCCGGAACGCAATCCCGAAGAGGCCGATTATACGGCTCCACTGTACGAATTGGCAACCCAAAACCGTCTGCCGCACTACAATGTTGATTTTCAGGTGCAATATTGGCTTCAGCAAGGATTTCCAGCCAGCAAGCTGAATTTGGGAGTAGCCAGCTATGGAAACGCATGGAAACTGTCTGCTGAATCAGGCCTTGAAGGGACACCCGTTGTCCCTAACACCGAAGGGCCTGCTCCAGAAGGTCTGCAATCTCAAAAGGCTGGTCTGCTAAGCTATCCAGAGATCTGCGCCAAGCTGTCCAATCCGCAAAATCAATATCTCAAGGGAAATGACGCGCCATTGAGGCGCGTGAGCGATCCTTCTAAGCGTTACGGAAACTACGCATATCGTGCGGTCGATGGGGCCACAACTGAGGGTATTTGGATTAGCTATGATGATCCCGATGCCGCCTCGAACAAGGCAGCCTATGTACGTGCCAAGAATCTGGGCGGTGTGGCTTTGTTCGACCTGGGCTACGACGATTTCCGTGGACAGTGCACTAGTGACAAATATCCAATCCTGCGTTCCATTAAATATCGACTTTAAATTTAATTGTGCCCATATAAAGCTCATATAAATAAACTGAAGATGAAATTTCTTAGCTTATCAGTTTACTTCCAGTTTGAAAATGGATGTGTTAGACTAAGCAAATTAATATTTGTAGATTTTAAAGCGCTTAATAAAATATAGCTAGAGATTCGTTCAAGCTTATCGCGTTAAAACTTTTTAGTAAGTCATAAACAAATACTTTTAAGTTTTGTAAATTACCCAAACAGAGTGATCTCATTGGCCTCGACGTCATTTGTCACTCACTGTTCACTGTACACAAAACAACAAAAACAGTTCCGAGAAATTTGTTGATAATATAAAGCCTATTGTTCGGCCCCTTGGGTCTACGAAGCTCGCTTGATGCGATTTCCGTTTCCATTTGAATTTAGTTGCGGTTTGTCTCTCGTTTCGTGCGGACGTATTTAATTGCGATCTTGTTAGCCCCTGTCCCTGCTCTGCAGCTGCGCTCTCTCTCTCTGCTCTCTCTCTTTCTCGCTAGCTAGCTGCTCTCCAAGTCTACAAAAATGCGCTCTTTGTGGCCCTTGTGGCTCGGGCTAGCGATGACTTTGCTGCTCTCAGAGCCGCAGTCAATCAACGCCGCGCCCAATCTGATTTGCTTCTACGACTCAAGGGGCTTTGAGCGACAAGGTAAATATAAGTTTTTAAGTGCTCTCCACATTGTTTACTCTCTTCTGTTATGTGCGCTGCTCTCCCACAGGCCTTGCTCAGTTCACACTCACGGATTTGGAGCTGGCACTGCAGTTTTGCACGCACGTGATATATGGTTATGCTGGCATCAATCCGGACACCTTTGAGCTGAAAAGTCTAAACCAGCCGCTGGACTTTGAGCGTCGACATTTTGCTCAAATAACGGCGTTTAAGGAGAAGTACCCATACATTAAATTTTTATTAAGCGTGGGCGGCGATCGTGATGTTCAGCAAGAAGAGAAATACATCCAGCTCCTGGAGGCTGGCAGCCAGGCCCAAACACGTTTCATTAGCTCGGCCAGAGATGTCGTACGTCGTTTTAATTTCGATGGTCTGGATCTCGCTTTCCAGCTGCCGCGCAACAAGCCCCGCAAGGTCCACTCTGATGTGGGCATGGCCTGGAAAAGCTTCAAGAAATTCTTCACAGGCGATTTTATTGTGGACCCTGACTCTGACACACATAAGACACAAATGACAAACTTTGTCAAGGATCTTAGTAGTGCGCTTAAAGCCAACGATCTGCTGCTAAGTCTCACCGTTTTACCCAATGTCAATTCCAGCTGTAAGTTCGCTATACCTATTCTTATTTTAATTGTATATCATTAAACTAATGTTTGTTAATATCTTATTCTCAGGGTATTTCGATGCGCCTGCCATCGCTAATAAAGTGGATTTTATTAATCTCGGCACGTTCGACTTTCTCACGCCCACTCGCAATCCCGAGGAAGCAGATTTCTCAGCTCCACTTTACGAGGCATTTGGCCAGAACCGACTGGGACACTACAATGTCCACTTTCAAATGGAGCACTGGCTGCTACAGCGTGTGCCAGCTAACAAGCTGAATATTGCTATTGCCACCTATGGACGGGCCTGGAAGCTAACCCCGGATTCTGGTACCACTGGAGAGCCCATAGTAGCTGCTGACGGTCCAGCTGTTGCTGGTCCACAATCCAAGACAGAGGGACTTCTAAATTGGGCTGAGATCTGTCAACTACTGCCCAATCCTAGCAATGCGAATGGCAAAGGCGCCGCCGCTCCCATACGACGCGTTCCCGATCCCACAAAGCGTTATGGCAGCTATGCTTATCGCCTGGCCGACGAGGACGGCCAGTATGGCTTGTGGGTTAGCTACGATGATCCGGATACAGCTGCCAGCAAGGCACAATATGCTCGTGTCAAGAATCTCGGAGGCGTCGCTTTGTTCGACTTGACTCAGGATGACTTCCGAGGTCAGTGCACCGGAGACCGCTTCCCCATGCTGCGCGCCATCAAGTATCGACTGCTCTGATGTCTACCTTTGCATATATACATATCAAGTAGCCCTTTTCCAAATGTCACCACGTTGCGCCGCTGGCCGCCGAGGCTGGCCCCAGTGTGTGTCCTCTTGCTAATTAATTACAAAGTTGTAAACTAAAATGCGCCGCAAATTATTTCATTGGCCTGTGCACTGCAACTACTGCAACTACATGTGGTATAGTAGTGTTCGCTTGACTCGCTCCCTGGCTATGGATCTGGGTTAAATTGTCTGCCTTTGCATTGGATTTCGTTGGCACCCAGCGGTGAAACGTTCCCTTTATCTCTTTCGCCTTGCTACCATCTTGCTAAAATGGTTTGTTATTTTTTGCTTATTTCGTCGTTTCTTGTGGTTCTGCTTGCCCTGCCATAGAGATTTACAGATTTCAGCACATACGGCGGCTTTGCCTGCGCCGGCGCGGCTTTCCAATTGTTATTCACTGTACCCATTGGGAATGGGTAAAAAGGGGTACATGGTTTGGCGCACATGTAGCTATGTGTTTAACAAGCTGATGGAGGCAGCTTCCCCGACATAGAGTGTATATATTTTCGACAGCTCAGTCGGTCTAGACATGTCCGTCAGTCTCAGTCATGCATGGAAGGAATCTAAAGAAATGGCTACAGGGTATACTCTAGTCCGCCACAATTGCCATGGCTGTTGTTGGTGTAATTCGCGCAGCCGTCTATAGGCGAATCACGCTATATATGTATGCGCAGTCGGCTGTCGACTGGCCGATGAGACCAACCAGACCAACCCCTCATCCCTGCTCCGATCTTGAATCTTTCGTTTACTTACAGAAACGATGAAAAGGCGCCCGTGCCAAGAGTAGGACCGATTGCTGATCAATGACAAAAAGACGGCGTCGTTGGCTGACGACAACGACACGATTGAAGACAACTAAATCAAGCAAATTCCTTGCACACACATATTTTGGCCAATACACTTGGTTAAAAAGAGTCTGGCATGGTTAAATTATATATAAATATTTTATTGCCTTTCTCAAAACATATGGAGCTTTCACTGTATATACTAGACTTTCGATTTGTCTGATCTTCAAATTTGTATCCTTTTCCTATATTCAATAAGAGCTCATAGAATAACTGAATTTATTTTTAAATATTTTCAGCAGTTATTACACAGTGAACAGTAATTTTCACGATCTTGTTTGATTGACTTATACATTTTATTGAAATAGTATTCACGTAAAGTACCCATAAGAATAATTGCCAGTTTTAGAGTCTTTCTAGTCGACATATATACAAATTATTTGAAAATCGTGATATTGTTAGGCAAACTAAACTCTAAAATTATTCGCAATTGGCGCAAAGCCCTTTTAGAATGCAAAATATGCATTTAGTGGCAATTGACCGTGGCGGCTTCTTGCCAGATCTTGATGTAGCTCACACACAAATGCTAACTTCAGTCCTTAGTCAGGGCAGAAAAGTGTCTACAGTATACCACAAAAAAAAAGTGGAAAAAAGAAACCTGGCATAGCCTACAAGTTGTAAACATGGCATTGTTTAGCAGAATCTGTCGCCAAGCTACGGTCGCAGATCCCAGTACTCTGCTATATCCCATCGAAAGAAAGATCGTGTCTGCTGCTCATAGCTCGACTCCGACTCCAACTCCCGCTTCCGCTCCCGCTCCCGCTCCCGCTCCAGCCCCCTGGCAGCTTGTCGCCTTATCTAATTAAGGCACATTGGCGGTAGTGGTGCAACAAGACCTCTGCATGATATTTGCTTTGCGATTATTGGCAGCCTGCGCCCCATGCGAATGACAAATATGTTGCCTATGCTTCCCCAAGCTGGCTGCACTCCGAGCTGCTGCCTTCTGTGGAAGGCTCACAGTCGCCAGCCTGGGGCTACCTCTTTAAATAAAGATATTTTCGCCCTCATTACGCTCTGTGTCCTTTTGTTTTCTGATTTTTTTTATTTGCGGTGGCCGATGAAGTGTCGCTGATTGCGCGTTGTATTGTTTTGGTTAGTCGAAGATGTCCACGATGGCGATAAGAAATGCATGCATGTACATTGCTTGAAGTCAGGATTTGGTCAATTTGCGAACATTCAGATACCGCTGATATTATTAGCTGCTGCACTGTCACCATGGACAGAGATTTTCGTATACATTGGGTAAGCTTTTAGTATCATGGATTTGGCTTAATGCGGAAAAAAAATTTTACTAAATTCGCAGCCTTTGTTATTTACGCTCTCTGTATGATTGTGCAATAATAATGTATGTATCATTGCAAGCAATGCTTGTGCATACGCTGTATATTTCTCTTGCACAGCGCACTATACACTTTGAATATCCCATCTCTATATAATTAAAACAAATGTTGTTCAAAAATTGTTGACCTTAAAGGAAAACACCGAATGGTTTCAATTTTACATAAAATGTTTTATTTAAATGATATATTAAGCATTAACATAAAGGTATAAAAATACCTTAACTCTTAAGCATGTGCATCCTTCCCTTCAGCTGTCTGTCTATGAGTGAAACATTTTGCAAACCCTTGCCAAACTTATGTAAGCCTTGCTCATTGCAGTCGTTTGCTTGTCGAGTTTGCTTCGAGTCAGTTGTTTTATTGTTTTGTTCATTTCAAATAAATCACGCTATTTTATGGTGTTCGCCCTGCTCGGCTCACATGTTTTCATCATCGTTAATCGAGTTCATATTTTAGAAGCCTGGAATTTAGCTGTCCATCTCGTTTTTCGTTCAATTGTCAGCGGGTTGTCACACAAAATGATTTAAGCCTAGTACCGGATGACGATCACTGGACGCCAAGTGGCGCCAAGCCAAGCCAAGCATTCTGCAGAGCTCCCCATTCCCTTATATATGCTTAACACCCAGCTCGTGGCAGCCTGGTCATAATTATGTTGAAGATTCACTTTATTGCTTCTGCTTCTTAGCTTATACCCTTTAACCATTAAATATAACTTAGAGGAACAAAGGGAGGCTATCTTCAGCACGCCGACGATTTAATACCTTAGCAAACATATGTCCTGAATAAATTATTTGTATTTTATTTCCAAATGATTAATTATCAATTCTTATACTCTACTGCAGCCCTGATACATATTGATCCATAGACTGTAAGTCCAATTTTATAATATGTTCTATTCCAAGTTTACACTTCCCCAGC